AGGTAATATAAAAGGCAAAAGATGTAAGTGCCAGTGATGATTAAAATAGTAAGCAGACACTCTTTTGTTATCCTCACCTTTGGGTAGGGGTCCATATATATAATTATGAACCAGAGAATTATGAGCTATCCATGGTTCAGTCCAGAAATTTACGCATTTACTATCAGTCAGGTTCCATTTATAACCTAATCTACAATTAGACCAACCCTTAAGAATGTTTGTCCAAGTTCTTGAAACATTCATTTTACTTAAATTAGAAGGCCTAAGATAACTGTGTAGTAATACTTGTGCCCATAGCTGAGTAGGGTTTTGAAATAGCCTCCAAGCAAGACTACAATGCAAAGCTTGATTTTTAATACTGAGATTTTGGATGCCCAATCCCCCTTGCTCTAAAGGTTGTGTAACCATGGACCATTCAATAAGATGTAATTTTTTCTTCCGAGGAGTAGTTCCCTAGAGAAAATTCCTTTGGTATCTATTAAGGGACGAAATAATATACGAAGGCAGGGTGATATATTGCATTAGGTAGTTAGAAAGGTTATTCAAAGTTGATCTTATTAGGGTTTTCCTTCCTGCTTTGGTTTAAAAGTGGGTTTTCCATCCTGCTAACTTAGATTTGAAAGTGTCAATTAGGAATTGGTAATCTCCTTTAGTGGGTCTTGAACTAAAAATAGAAAACCCTAAATAATTACCAAAGTGTGTGCCCTCACTTATATGAAAATTGTGTTGTATTGCAACCTTCATATTAGCAGGATAATTCCTAGAGAAGAAAATCCGTCATTTCTCAATGTTAATAGTTTGTCCCGAATGATGAGTAAATTGATTAATGGTGTTAACTATGGATTGACATGAAGTAGATGTAATTTTTTAGATCAAAATAATATCATCTCTGAAGAAAAGATGAGATAATTGAGATCCTCTTCTACCTATTGAAATGGGATGCCAAATGTGATAATCAACTTCAGAGTTTATTTTTCGTGACAGCATCTCTAAACATAAGATAAAATATAAGGTGATAGAGGATCGCCTTGTCTAATACCTCATGTAGGTGTAACATTTATTAGAATAGCTGTAGAAGTAGTGGTAATACAAGACATTATTAATTTAGCAAAAGTTGGAGGAAAATTTAGATTTTGTAATGTGTTATAAATGAAAGACCATTCCAGCTTATCAAAAGCCTTTTCAAGATCTAGCTTAAGCAGCATATTAGAATTTTTACCCTTAATTCTATGGAACCTAGAGATAATTTCTTGTACAATAATTGCATTATCAGCTGCTCGTCTATTTTTCTGAAAACTGGATTGAGTCGGATGGATAAGATGTTCCAGAACTGGTTTTATTCTATTAACAATAATTTTTGTAATAATCCTATAGATAGTATTACAAAGGCTAATAGGTCTGAATTGTGATATAGTTGAAGCATTCTTATTTTTGGGAATTAAGCAAATAAAAGTTGTATTTATAGAAGGGTCAATCTGATGGTCCAAGAAAACCTTATGACAAAAATAGTTGACAGAATTTCCTATGATATGCCAATATTTCTGATAAAATCGAGGATGTAATCCGTTTGGGCCAGGTGCCTTAAGGGGTTGAAACGAATTTATGGCATTTAAAATTTCAAAATCTTGTAAAGGAGTTATTAAACTAGTTTACTCAGTTGAGGATAATATATTAAAAGGGTGTACGAAAGAGGAATGAGTAGAATTGATTTTTTGAGTAGTGAAGAGATGACTATAGTAATTAGTAATGTCATCTCTAATTTTTTGAGGGTCAGTAATCCAATTTTCTCCTAAGTCTTGAAGAGTAGTTATACGATTATGTCTACGTCGATTTAAAGTTGTTAGGTGGAAAAATTTGGTGTTAGCATCACCATTATTTAACCAATTTATTCTTGATTTTAACTTCCAAAATTCCTTCTCGAGCTGGAGAATGTGATTAAATTCCAAAGTTAAGGATTTTTCCAAATTTTGTAAAAATAGACTAGTTGGATAGTGAATAGAGGCTTGGATCCTACCTAGTCTTGCCAGTAATTTATTTTTACGCTTAAAAATGTTACCAAAAGTAGTTTTATTCCAAACTTGTATTGATTCCACAAATTGATTAATAGCAGGAATCAAGTGAAGCTTTTCTGACCAAACTTGTTCTGTTACTGCTGAGAAGGCAGGATGGGTAGTCCATATAGATCCTAGCCTAAATATTTTTTTCCTTGGCATAGAATATTGTTGTAATTCAATTTTAATAGGGCAATGATCATAATGAGTTCGGGGAAGGTGTGTTACCAAAGCATCACAATAATTAGCTATCCACCCATAATTAGCTAACACACGATCAATACATTCTAAAATATTAACACCGTTATGTCTACCATTTGTCCAAGTGTATCGACTGCCCTTATATCCTAAATCCGTTAATAGGCAGTAATTAAAACAGTCTAATACTCTATTAGCTCTAGAATTATTTATAGGCAAACCTCCAAATTCATCTACGGCATGTAATATTTAATTAAAATCTCCCCCTAACAACCAAGGCCCCTTATAATTATCAAATATACACCTAATGTTATCCCATAATACTAGTCTAAGATGCCAAGTCATTACTTGCATAAATAGCACTAAATAAAAAGGTAAAGGGTAAGGGAAGAACCTAAACATGGCAATGGATCTCTTGGGTAGATGTGGCTACCTGCTCTACATTTACAAGAGCTGCATTCCGTAGAATAACAATCCCTCCTGATTGTCCTACAACAGATACCCCAATCATACCTGTGAACTCAAAGTCATCCTTCAGAAGTTGGTGGGATTGGCCGTGTGTCTCTAGAAGAACCACAAAAGTAGGTCGATTATAATCTAATAAGGATCTAAAATTCCTACGAAACTCAACTGAATGAGCACCCCTACAATTCCAAAATAATAAAATTCATATTGCTTAACTGGAGTTCATTATGTCCATTACTAGACTCTCATGGACGAAGCCTTAAGATGGGGAGAAATAACATCGCATATTTCCCCACCACTGGATTTGTTGTTGGCCTCAAACGGAATGAGGTTGCAAGCAGATTTTGCGGGCACCTTATGAAGATCTTTCTTTCGAACTCTTCCTTCTGGACAAAGACTTTTATTCCATCCAAACATGCATGGACTGGTCGTGTCTCTCTGTTGTATATGATGGCTGCGTCTAACTCTGCCTGAAAATGCACATCCTGCTCCTCTTGTTCTAGTTGATTGTGATGCGGTGGAGATGGGAGAGGAGGTGGTGGTGTTGGTGAAGGGGGGCTGTTGGTCTCAAAAGAGGTGTGTGAGGTTGAGGATCCCAGTAGGGTTGGATCCAAGGGGTGTTTGGAGTAGGAGGAGGATAAAATGGCATGTGTCGTAGATTGGGGTAGAGATGTGTATGATCCCAGACTGGAGTGGGTAGGGGCAGAGGTTGGTATGGTGCTAGGTGGGGTGCCTACATCATGGACCAATGGTAGTGAGCATAGAGGTTTGTCCCTAATTGCATCCCTTCCGCCACTATTTGTGCTAAATCCCTTGGATGGTTGATTAGTATCGTTACTTCTTGTTGATTTACTTGCATGGTGAATGTCAAAGCATGGTTGTGCAAGCCCGCCTCTAGCCAAGATGCTAGAAGAGTTAGTGCATGTGGTATTTGGGCCGTGTCGATTATCGTATTTGGTTCCATTATTAGATGAGGTGGAGGGTGAGAGGGAGATCTGGGATTGTGTTGTAAGTGTTGAGTGTTCTGCCTTGGTTGAGTTCCTGGCCATCGGAGATGATTGAGAAAGTTGAAGGGAAACATGGTCTTCAATGGGAGATTTTGATAGTGGAGGAGTCAAATTGGTAGAGACTATATTTGGTGTCTGAAGTGGAGATGGAGCAATGCCAATGGATGTGGATGGCGGTTGAAGAGTAGTGGGAGACTCATTATGGCCTATTTGCATGGCAACAGAAGCTTGAAATGATGGAGGGATTCCGATATTCAAAGGAGGAGGTGGAGGGTTTGGTAGTGTTATTGTATATTTTTCTTGTGGAGGTGAAGAAGGTATGGTTGGGGATTGAGGCATGCTTTGCATGTGGGAAGGGATGTCGTGTCGAGTTGCATGGTTAGTGATAGAGTTTGATATATGATAAGGAGTAGGTTTTGAAGAATGCCCTGATTGGACCGAGTGCTTAGGCACTTGAGTGGTCTTTGAAAGTTGCAAATTATTAGGTATTGGGTTTAATAAATAGGTATCATTTTCAGTGGATCATCTACTAATGTATGATACTTATTATTAATTAATATAAGGTTAAGGGTGGAGGGTAGCTTAGAACCAATAGTTTTTGTATTAGTTAACGGAGTTAAAGTTAACTTAGTAAAAGGAAGATTATTAGGGCTAATCACCCCTTGCTTACCTGACTGACCTACCAACCCTATCTGCACTGGAGGTAGCACTGGCAATGGATCATCTGTGTAAGAAGATCTTCTAAGGATAGATTTTTTCGGAAATTGAACAAGTTGCCATGCTCCATTAGTCGTAGTAGAAGTAGTGGAATTAGAGTGAATAACATCCATTTGATGATCCATTTGTGAATTTTCTGTGGAAGGATCTACGTTTACAAAGTAATTGCAAGCCCTTTGATTATGACCCATACGACCACACTTAGCACAAAGTAAATTTAATCCTTCATGGAGTATAATTTGTTTATGATTGCCAATGTATAAGTGTCACTTTAAAGGCTAATCAAGTAGTACTTCCACACATAACCTAGCATATTGTCCTCTTGTAGTTGAAGCCGTGCAAGTGTCCACTGATAATAGCTTACCAATTTTCTGGTCTAACTTGTGCAAAATTTGATAATCGTAATATTCTGTAGATAATTCGGGCAAATATAACCAAACAGAGTTAAATAATGGTGATGCTAACACCAAATTTTTCCACCTAACAACTTTAAATCGACGTAGACATAATCGTATAACTGTTCTTCAAGACTTAGGAGGAAATTGAATTACGGACCCTCAAAAAATTAGAGATGACATTACTAATTACTATAGTCATCTCATTTTCTCTTCCCAACTATTTTCTTCTCTTCACATTCATTTCTCTGTTGCAAACCCAGCTACTTTTTACAAAAAGAACCAGAGAACATCTGTTTGGTTTGTAAACCATGGCAAGATTGATAGCATTTTTCACTCTTTGTTTACTCTCTGCTTCAGTTGCTTCTGCCACTTTCACTGGCAACCCTTTCCTTGTCAAGGGTAAAGCTTATTGTGACACTTGCCGCTGTGGATTTGAGACCCCTGCCACCAAGTACCTCGCTGGTAATTAATTGCACAATTTTACTCCCTTTATGCTATTCCCTTTTTCATTTTCAAGATCTGTTTAAGTTTTTCTCTCTCTCTCTTTTTTTTTTTTTGAGTGTTTTTCATAAATGGGTTTTATAGATCCAGTTTATAGATCTACTTGTAGCCGAATCATATCAAGATCGTATAGTCCAGTGTCATAGTTAAGCTCAAATTTACAAATGCTTATTCTTTCTCTTGTAAAACAATTTGATTTAAGCCCTACTTGTTTTTGTGAATTTCTAATTTGTTACCATACTGCGTACAATCTACGTCAAAAAGTCTCCGCATGTACCAATGTCATGTCATATACCTCAGTAATGTTACTGCCTCCGTTCTGATTTATGTGAACAACCACGAAAATTTAAGAAAAAATAAACATTTTGAAATTTGTAGTCCTAAATAAGTCAAAAAGAGGTTCAAAGTATTTGTAAGGTTATAAAAGCTTTTCATTTAAGATTGAATTGAAAGTTTAAATAAAATTGCTTTCAAATTTAAAAGTGGGTCATTCTTTTGAAACAGACCAAAAAAGAAATAGGTTCACATAAATTACAATAGAGGGAGCCACGGTTCAAAATTATTTTCTTGCTTTGCTGCTGTTATAGAGTGTCTGGTCCGGATCTGTTCGACAGAATGTCTGAGAGGAGAATACTACTACTACTACTTTTTTATGTAATTGACGTGGTATTAAGATTCATGTGGTTTCACTGACAGGCGCAAAGGTTAGAATTGAGTGTAGGCACAGGGTCATCGAGGCATCCACTTACACTGTTGAAGGTGTGACCAACTCTAAAGGAGAATACAATATCTTGGTTAACAGTGACCGTGGTGACGATGCCTGCGATGTCATCCTCGTTAAGAGCCCCGACCGCACCTGCACCAAGCCCAACGCTGGCCGTGATCGTTCACGTGTAATCCTCACCCGCAACAATGGCATGATTTCCAACACCCGTTTTGCCAATGCCATGGGTTTCCTCCGCGATGAGCCTCTTTCTAGCTGCACTCAGATCCTCCAGCAATACCAATTGACAGATGACCAAGTTTAAAGAATTTGAGAAATATGCTGAACGAGTGGTATCTTTATGTTTGTCATCGTTTCTGGATGTGTCAAAACTGTAATGTGTCCGTTTAATTAGCTTAAGAATATATTTTAATGGCTCGTTAAAATAGTCAGTACTTGATTGTGGCTGGAATATTTGTTAGTTCTTCGGGAGCTAGTTACCTTATACTTTAATATGTCCGAGACGACTTTTGCCGTAATGAAGTTCCAATCCTTTCCATTTTTGCCACCAAAATGGGGATGAATAGTGTTCCCAAAAGATGGGGTACACTATTCATTTTTCCCATTACTACTCTTGCATATTTTATTATTATTTTATTATTTAACACTTTTAATTTATCTCTTTACTAGCACAATGTGCGGATCATATTATGATTCTGCTATATTAAAAAGAATAAATTATATGAATAACTATTAGCATAAACTTAAATATGTATGAGGACCTTACCCCTACTCTGGAGGAGTAGAGAGACTACTTCTGATAGACCCTCGGCACAAGAAGAAGGAAAAAGACAGTGTATCAGTAACAGCTAAATTCACACTATCTCATCAAAATTAAAACTGCGTGAAATAATACTATATAGAGTAATAACTAAAAAAAATACATTTTGTAATATCTTAATTTAAATTATAAAATATATTATATTATTATCTCAACATAATAATTTCTCACATCAATATCAACTTCTACCAACCTAAAATTTCACAATGACAAATTAATATATACACACATGATGATTTATTGACAACCAATTTATTCTAACTTTTGGGAGTTACCAACATATAAAACAGTTGGATAGTAATTTGCTCAACAATTTTAATGTCACCTCAATTTTAACCACACAATTAAAGCCACTTTATGTTCAACAATTTAAATGATACTTTTGGAATATAGTTAAGATTAGTATATTATAATTAAATAAATATTAAACTACTTTAAATATATCATCCCACATGAAGATGAGTTCTTACATGTAATTCTTAATTAAATGAATTTTATCTTATGATTTTTGTACTTCACTTTATTTTGTGAAAAGAGTAATCCCAAATAGTGTAATTATACTCCTGTATATGTGTACCCTATTTAAATCTATTTCATTCTAATTCACACACACACACATACATACATACATGTATATATATATATACATGTATATATATACCGCCCATCTGTTGCTCAATCAATTGGCTCATATGCTTTGAGAGATATAAATATCAACAAAGGGCTAGAAAGTCATAGTCCATACCTAAGCCATTAAAGAAGAATCCATCCTCCCTTCTTATCTAATTTACCATGACAACTGCTAGCACTAATAGAAAAATAAAATATAAAAAGTGTATGTATTGCTTCCAAACAATTGAGATATAAAATAAATTATAAAATGTTGGATAATTAATTTTACCGTGAGGCAACATAATTGACATTTAGTTCAGCTGATGTCTGAGTTGCTTCATAGTTTAAAGCATTATCCCCACAAAAATGTATATCATCAGTTCCTCTATTCTTGTGTAAAATTATGATTGATTAGCTCCCTTCGAATATTATTGGAGTTGCTTTAAAATTGATCGAATCAAACTGCATTTATGTGACAATTCTCTTTTTGAGAGTCATGTTAAAAGTATTCGACTTCAAACTACACACATCACACATCTTGATTCTTAAACTAAAATGCTAATTGAGCAAGAGATATAGATTTATTTTTAAATTAATTCAAAATATTAATTTACCCACATTATCTTTATACCCCATCTTTCTATATTATTTCCTCCACCATGAAATTTTATATAGTTATTTCATTTATATGGAAGTTTGACATTCAATTTTCATTAAAATTAACTATATAAGAATTTAAATTATATTTAAATATTTTTAATTTATTTCTTGGAATTATGTCAAATGTCTATATTTTTTTGTTTTGTCTATTATAACGGTTTTAAATACGTGTATCTTATTCATATAATATGACTTATCTCATTATTATTAACGTTCTCTTCTCAAAAATCAAATAAATCTTATCATTCTATATACATCTGCTACTAAGATTATTATTTATTTACATATTTTTCTTCTTTTTTGATTCCTTGTTCATGTTATTGCATTACCCATAACTTAGAGTTGTTTATATTATTGCCCACAACTCCCATTAGTAGATGAGTTTAGTTTTTCTTTTTCTTGTAATAAAAATTGTATTCACTATTTTTTATTCTACTGCTCAAATTAGTATTTAAATTTATCATAATATTTTGAGTATCATTTATTTATTCTCTTTATTTTATATTTTAGCTCAATGGAGTGGTAGTACTCGTAATATGTATTGATAATATCTCCATATTTATCTATATAATGAGTGAAGATAAGGGTGTTATTTTTATCTTTCAGCTTGATATTTTCTTGTGATAAAAAACTTATTAGTTAAGATAGGCTAATTGGTTATATCGTTATAAGACTATTATTATTTCTTTCCATTCAGATTCAAAATAATCTTATTTACTACCTTTCCATTTAATTTAAAAAAATTATCTTTTAATTTTAAATTAAATAAAATATTAGTATAAATATTATCATAAATTATCTTTCAGTTCAATTTTTTTGTGGTCNATATATATATATTAATTTGAACATTTAGTTTACTGATTGATGAAGAAAGTGCGCTATCACCAAAGCAAATTTTTCTTTATTAATCATTATACAAGTTATGACGACCTGGTCGGTCGTCTTAAGAATTAATGCCCAATCCCCTATTAACTACTTTCCCCAAGTTTATTTCTACTATTTTGATTTGCCGGGATATTCAGTTTTGAGTTTCGGAGAGTTTTGGGACACTTAGTCCCTAAATGAGAGCTTAAGTGTTGGAAAGTTGACCGTAGTTGGAACAATGTGAAGACGGCCTCGGAATGGAAATTAGACGGTTCCGTCAGCTTCGTTGGGTGATTTCGGGATTGGGGCGTGTTCGGATTGTGTTTTGGAGGTCCATAGCTAATTTAAGCTTGAAATGTTGAAAGTTGAATTTTCGAAGTTTCCGGTTCGATAGTGAGATTTTGTCCGGGGGGAATGGAATTCCGGAAGTTGGAGTAGCTCCGTAGTGTTGAATGTGACGTGTGTACAAAATTTCAGGTCATTCGGACGAGGTTTGATAGACTTTTTGATCGAAAGCGTATTTTTAGAGTTTTTGGGATTCTTAGGCTTGAATCCGATCAAAATAGGTGTTTTGATGTTTTTTTGAGTGTTCCGAAGGTTGGAACAAGTTTGAATGAAGTTATGAGATATGTTGGTAGGTTTGGTTGAGGTCCCGGGGGCCTCGGGTGCGTTTCGGATGCCCAAACGGGCAGTTTTGGCCTTTGGGAGATTGCAGGTTTGTTGGTATTTCTGCAGCAGTGATTTGTTCATTACGATCGCGTGAGATCACCTGCGATCGCATAGTGTAAGCTGAGACTAGGCACTTTGTTGTGAATTGCGATCGCAGAGTAAGGAATGCGATCTCATATGGTGAATTTGTTGGTCATTGCATTCGCATGAGGACCATTGCGTTCACGTAGAAGGATTTAGTACGACAGTGGATGATAGAATTTGCTCTATGCAGTCACATAAAGCTGGTCGCGATCGTGTTGCTTTGAGGGAGTTGTCTTATGCGATCGCGTAGGGATTTCTGCGATTGCGATTAAGGATTATCTGGGCAAAATATAAAATTTCAAAGTCGAGGGTTTAGCCATTTTTATCAAAACTTAAGCTTGGGAGCTCGGATTTGAGCGAGGTTTTGAGGGATTTTCAGAGATATCGATTGGGTAACGATTCTTAACTCCTTTTTGCTCGTAACCCATTAATCTAAACATGAATTCATCATTAAATTTCAGAATTTGTATGAAAATTTGGGGAAAGTTCTTAGACAAAAATTAGAGTTTTGATTGTGGATTTGACATCGGATTTGAATAATTTTTGTATGGTTAGACTCGTGAGAGTATGAGAATTCTGTAAATATAAGTTTTACCCGATTCCGAGACGTGGGCCTGAGGTGTGTTTTGGTCATTTTACCTAATTTCGCGTATTAGCTTAGAATTTCTTTTGTAGAATCAGTTACTTGAAGTGTTATTTACGTTATGAAATTGAATTGAATAGATTTAGGTCATTTGGAGTCAAGTACTCGTGGCAAGAGCGTAGTTTCAGGTTGATTTTGAGCCAGTTCGAGGTAAGTGGCTTGTCTAACCTTGTGTGGGGGACCTTCCCCATAGGATTTGATATTATTGTTAATTGAAATGCTTTGTACGTGAGGAGACGAGTGTGTACTTGTGCTAATTGTTGAAAATTCGATTTTCATTAAGCAATTACTAGTAGGTTTCCTTCCCTGTTTATATTACTTGCACTTTAAGCCTGTTGTTAGCTTTTAGGAAAGCATGTCTAAGTGATTTAATTGCTTTATTTGCTCTAACTGTTTTACATGAATTATGTGCAGTATGCTAGACTAGAATTACCTATTTACCTTAATATGAAACTGACATTTGCTGAATATATTTCTATGTTGCCGCTGTGTATTTACATTTGAGACTACGGATGTAGGATTCCGGTAGATTCCCCTAGACTGTTTATTTGGGACTACGAATGTGGGATTCCGGTAGATCCCCCTTGTCTGTTTATTTGGGACTACGGATGTGAGATTCCGGTAGATCTCCCTGCACAGTTATATGGAACTACGGGACTGCACCCGGTAGATTCTCTTAGTACTGGGTATTTACATTTGGGGACTACAGAACGGGATTCTAGTAGATCCCCGGGGCATTATGAGTTGGACTACAGGACGACACCTGGGAGATCCACTGGACATTTATATTTGGGGGCTACAGGACGGTATTCTGGTAGATCCCCGGTTTCTATCTCTATGTTGAGCTGTGTTCCCTCGGTAAATATTTTGCCTCTGTTCTAGTTGTTGTTGCTCTTTCTATTCCATGTTATTTCTTACTGTTGCACTTAATTATACTGTCTTGCTCTACACTGCTATACTTTGTATTTTATTTAACCTCAGTAGGGCCCTGACCTTCACTACCCAACCGAGGTTAGGCTGGTTAGGCTTGGCACTTACTGAGTACCACTGTGGTGTACTCATGCCCCTTCTGCGCATGTTTTTCATCTGCAGATCCAGGTACCGCGACTCTGTCCTACCACTCGCGAGGCAAGGCAAGGCGACTGCTCTAGAGACTTCGAGGTACATCTGTCGCATCCGCAGACCA